GCTGGGAGCCGCCAGCCTGGTCCCAGGAAGAGGTGGAGGGCTGGGTGGCAGCGGATGGCTGGCTCGTGCCAGATGCAGGGTCTGCTGGCTGGATGCTGGCAGGCTTGCACCTGGCACCGGCACCGTAGCCAGACCGTGCCCCTTTAAGGGCTCCGGGGCAGGAAAGGGGTCAGAAGAGTTTCCCTGGTGGTGCCCAGAGTGGCCACCAGGGAAAGCTGGGGAGGGCTAGCTTCCCACTAGTTCGAATTAAGTGACTACACAGCCCTTAATTCGAACTATTTAATTTGAACTTGGCATTAGTCCTCATAGAATGAGGTTTACCTAGTTCGAATTAAGCGCTCCGCTAGTTAGAATTAAGTTCAAACTAGCAGTTTATATGTGTAGCGCCTATCAAAATTAATTCGAACTAACGCCTGTTAGTTCGAATAAACTTTGTAGTGTAGACATACCCTTAAAGTCTAACAGAGGGTGGCTGTTTCTACACTGGCATGAATTTCCGGAACTGTTTAAAATGGAATACTATTCCGTTTTCAGTTTTTCCGGAAAAGGAGCGTCTACTATGGCAGGCTGCCCTTCTTCCGGAAAAGCGTCTGTGGCCAATGTAGACACGCTTTTCCGGAAAAGAGCCCCGATCGCGAAAATGGTGAATTTTCCTGAAAAGACTACTGGGCTGTCTACACTGGCCCATTTCCGGAACAGTGTTCCGGAATAAGGACTTATGCCCGAGCGGGAACAGAATAGTTTTTCCGGAATAGTAGCTGATTTTGTACAGTAGAGCATCGTTGCTTTTCCGGAAATTCAAGGGCCAGTGTAGACAGCTCGCAGTTTATTCCGGAAAAGCGGCTGATTTTCCGGAATAAGTGGCCCAGTGTAGACACAGCCTAAGGGTATGTCTACACTACAGCATTATTTCAAGATATCTTATTTTGAAATAGTTATTCTGAAATAGCTTATTTTGAAATAACACATCTATACACAAAGTGCATTTCGAAATAGCATTTTGCTATTTTGAAATAGCGCGTCCACACTGAGCAGACTCTGAATTGCATTTAGGGCTGGCTGGAACCAGTTCCGGCAGTACACCAGGTCAGGACTTACTGTGTGGGGTTGCTGTCTGAGGATAACTGAGGTCTGTGCTTAAAGACCCCCTCCCATGACCCCCAGACAGCCAGTTCTCAGGTTTCCCTGCTTGCTTGCCTACCTTGATGAGGGACAGCAAAGCATTTTTGTCTCGGCATGCTCTGGTTGCCCTTACTCGGGACATCACAGCACTCTGCCACATGGACCCAGAGCTGCCCCTGGGCACTCTGGTGCTTCTCTTGGATGCGTTGCTGCGAGCCTGGCTGCACTTTCTGCAGGCTGCCATCCGGGAGGTCCATCGGGGGGCTTTCAGTATCCAGGAGGCCCTGTGGGAGAGCTTCCACCCTGAGGAGCACTAACAGTCTCCCTTGTCTGCCCACTGGGGGCTTGTGCCTCATTCCTCCCTCACATCCTTCCACTTTAACCTCCCTAACCCCTCTTCCTGATGTCAAATAAAATACACGTATTTTCATGAACACAAACTCTCTTTATTTAACAAAACTGGGTGGGGGGAATGAGTCAATATTCCAGTTTATAAATTAAAAGGAAATAAACTGAAAAGGTCTAGAAACACTGATGTAAAGAGGGGTGTTATCTAACCTACCATCTGCCATAGCAAGCTTCTCCATAACACCTTGCCAGTGGGAGAATTATTTTGGTAGAAAGGGGCCTGGAGGGTTGTGTTCTTCTGGGTTCACATGTGGTCTTGGGTGGCCAGGCTGGCAGCTATCCTGCCATAGACGGCTGAATTCCTCCATCTAATGCGGAGCTCATGGACGTTGGGGACATCCCCCCCAAAACTGAATAAGGTCCATGATATCCGCCCTGGACCAGAAAGGCGCCCGCCTTCTCCGGACCCTGGCAGGCTCCTGGGAGCTGGCAGACTGCTCCTGGGCAGCGGTGGAGGGCTGGCTGGCAGTGGCTTGCTGGCTCATGTTTTGGGGCCACTGGCAGTTCCTGCTGGCTCTGGGCTGGCAGGCGTGGAGCTGGCACAGACACTGTGGCCAGAGTCTACCCCTTTAAGGGCTCTGGAGATGGGGGAAGGAGAGGAGTGTTCTTGGTTGAGGCTGGAGTGGCCAATAGGGCACCCTGGGAAGGCTGGAGGCCCCCTATTTCAATATAAATGTCTACACAGCACTTATTTTGAAATAGCTATTTCAAATTTGGTGTTATTCCTCGTGGAATGAGGTTTACTAAATTCAAAATAAGCGCTTCGCTATTTTGAATTAATTTTGAAATAGCAGTTTGGCTGTGTAGACACTAGTAAAGTTATTTTGAAATAATGGCTGGTATTTTGAAATAACTTTGCTGTGCAGGCATATCCAGATTTATTAGAGCATAGGCTTTTGTGAGTAAAACCCACTTCATCAGTTGAATTAGAGTGCAAATTACAGAAGCAAGAGTATATAAAAGGAAG